GGAGCACAAGGAGGATGTGTGACAGCCGGCCCTGCCCACCCCTATCCTGGGGGCGGAGCACAAGGAGGATGTGTGACAGCCGGCCCTGCCCACCCGGGGGTAACTACCTGGGGAGTGCTCTGACCCAGCAGAGCAGAGCCCTGGGCCTTGACAGGCTCCCAGGCTGCTCAGAAACCTGCCGGGGACAAAGGTGAGTCCACTTCCATGAACCATCTAGAACTTTCAGAGACAGAAAGCAGGTGAAAGGTGACTAATGGCTCGGGGAGGGGGAAGTTACTGAAAACTTGGAAAAGGACAGTGGGGATGGTTGTACAAAGTGGTAATGGTACCCATTCAAAACAGTATAAATAGCTAATGTCATATGTATGTCACCACAATGAAAAGAGGAAAAACACCCCCACGCCGGATGCTTGGCAAACCTGACGAATGCCCCTGGCAAGACATGAAAGGCACAGCAAAGAACTTCATAAAAAGCTCTTAACAGACCTCACCCCGCCTCCCTGGCCTGGGGCGGGGCGTGGCGTGGGAGGGTGGGCCGCTGCAGGGAATAACTGAAAACCAGCCGCTATGGGAGGGAGGTCCGCTATGGGAGGGACGTTCGATCTAAGTTTGCTTTCCTGCCCAGGCTTCGGACAGCAGGGCTGCCCGGCTGCACACGCAGGGCTCTGGGGAGGCCCTGTAGGAGAGGCAGGACAGCCACCTGGGTGGGTCAGATGCCAGCTCTAGAGAGCAGAAACACTGGGTTCCCAAGACGTGTAGACCAACACTCCTGCTCCAGACTGGGGTCTCCACTGGGGCTAAGTGAGGGACGGCATGGAGGAGGCCCTCCTGGTACTACAGGAAGGGTCGTCCGGCAGACCCAGCAGCGTGGCCTTTGAGCAGAGAGGAGATGACTCAAGAACCCAATCCCCATGCCGCTGGGACCCCTGCTTTCTGACACCCCTATTTCTAGGCTCCCCTCTATGACACCAGCTTGAACTGGAGTCTCTCGGTGCCACACTCCGTCACCTGTGCACACGCAACGCACCTCTTCCTTATGTCTTCAGCACACTCCTCGCACGGGTAAAACTTAGAAAATAAGTGTATGAACTCGGCCATGTCTTGCTGCTGTTCCGGGGTGGGCATGTCGGGGTAGTAGGCAGCCAGGGTGTGGAGGACAGCCCAGCTGTGGCGGCCCAGTTCCTCCCGATCCTCAGGGCAATCCTCCCTAAACTTGGTTTCCCGCTACGGAAGGAAGCAAGCGGACCAAGAGTCAATTCCCCAACGCGGAGCCCGCGAAGCTCCCCTTTTCCACCCCCTCCCCGGAGGCCCACTGTCTCCGGGCGAAGTCTGGAAAGGGACGTGTCGGGGCGCTTGTCCTAAACCTTGCGGGGGGCGGGTCTGCCCGGGGCACCTGACAGTAAGGCGAGGGGGCTTTCAGGAGGACGGGGACCCAAGGGCGTATGCAGGGAGGCCGGGCGGGGCTCCCCGACACGTGCACCTTTTGCTGCGTCCGCATCCACGACTTGAAATCCACGCAGGCCCGGCAGGGTCGTCTACGGGAGGCGTCCTCAGCAACCTGCGGCTCGGGGGTCGGTGCTGCAGCTGGCGTAGGTGCGGAGGCCGCGGCGGCGTCTCTGCGCCCCGCGCCCCGGCCCCGCGCGTCGGTCACCAAGTCGTCAAGCACCTCGGAGCGCGCGCCGCCAGGCAGGAAGGAGAAGAGGCCCCTGCTGCCGAAGCGCCTGCGCTCGCCGGGCGCCGCCATGTTGCCTGCGCAAAGGCTGCCGGGCCACCTTGGCCTCCAGGCGGGCCTCCAGGCCAGCGCGCGCGCCACCGCCAACGCGCGGCCGCACGAGC